TCTGATGGAATCCATAAACTTAGAAAATCGGCACAGAGAATATCTGTGTCTGTATCTGTTACTTCCCACAATGCCCCGACAACACATGGACTAGAATAAATGTAAAATCATTAGACAGACAATAAAATAATTGCCGACATTTTTAGATATTCATATCCTAAATAAAAAGGAAAAGAATTATATTAATATGTCACAGTTAATTGTCTTAGCAATTACTAATGCTTCTGACTTGTTTGGCACAGTTATAGAAAATTTATACTGTATCAATTTCAGGTGAAACATTCAAAAATTAATAAACTTTCACAGACAGGAAACAGTCGAAAAGTGTAATCTGAAATTTAAATATAGAATATCGGGTTCGAATGGGGACTCTAGCTGAATATTTTTTCTTAAATTTAAACAAACAGTTTTGTTAAAAATAAGTAAAAACCCAAAATATTAAAATATGAATATTTATTTGATATTTCAGTAATTTCAAAAAACAATTCAGAAAAGAACTGCTCATCTTCATTTGTGAGGCAAAATAAGATTTTCTGTTTATATTAATTAAATGAATAAATAAAATTACGATTTTAACAAATCGTTATAATTAAAAGCATATGGGCTCAAAATCGCAGGTCATAAAAATATAAAATATTGATATCTCAAAACATTTACCTGCAAGCAATTAAATACATTTGAAAGGAGCTGTGCATTTCCACTTGGGGTCCCAATGACTGCAGTTTGACGCTGCTACAACCAAATAAAAATACAACACCGTTTACTCGTAAGCGTTGGATTTTATCACCAGGAAGGTATTGACTCCCACTTCCATGACCAGAATACCTATAAAAAATCATGTAATTATGGCTTATGTACCTGTTTTTAACTAGTTACTATTTATCAACACAGTAGCAGTAGAATAGGGATAAAAGGCAGATACAAATTTTTGTCATTAATTTTAACCCAATGTGGAACAGAAGGAATTGTGAATTACTGTATTTTTTTAACTATTATATACCTTTCCAATTAATTTAAAAGGCAGACTGTTTTGATTGCAACATTATGAAGGAAAGATGTAAACTTACACAAAAATATCGTTTGATGTTAACAGTTCTTCAAATTCAGTTGCTGAAGGTGCTCGCCCAACTATGCCAGTTTTCCATTGCGGCGTCCAATACTTAAAGTAATTCGTCAAACGAACTTCCATCTTCTTTAAATCTAAACCGGGATTAATCACATAAGTCCCCTTATCACATGAGATGTTCCTTTTAAAGCCGTTGATAATCGAATCTTCATGTTCTTTAAATAATCCATAGGTGAAATGAAAAGAAGGCATTCGCGACACAGAATGTTCCTGGATTATGTCCAGCATTTCCCATGGAAAAACATCAAGAGACTGAAATTAATACATATATTATATGCACTTGTAATTAAGATATTGTAAAAATTTTCCACCTCTTCAACAATAAGTATTACTGGATGTCTTTTTTGGGAGTTAAATGCACCAACATAGTGTGATTCGGTGAAATCTTTAATTTTCTTTACCAGTTTAGTATAAAAAAGTTTTTCTTTGCCAGGAAACAGATACTTCATAGCATCTCTAAGTTCTTTAACTGATAAATGTGAAGTGCCTTTGATGACATACCTTAAAATATTTCTGACTTTATCTGCAACAGAACTAATCACTGATTTAATATTTTATAATTGCAATTAAATTCACTTTTACCAATAAATACATACATACATTTTAATTTCGCTCAAGAAGTCATCTACAATTTTAGTAATTTCTTCTTCCTTTTCTGAAGAAACATAATTCCCAATTAGGAGACACCTCCAGAAGCCTAACCAGCGATCCTGTACCACCTTAATAACTTCCTGTTAATATAAAACATTAAGATTAACATTAATAATACCAATATGAGAGTAACAAAAAAAACTTAAAACAATAACTTTACTCTAAATGATCGCTTCTATGTTTTGCATGATGTATCTTGACAGTATTTTTTAAGGATTTCAATTAACCTACATACAAATACTCACCTTCATTCTACTGTCTAATTCTGAACGCATTTCGTTATACGTTTTTGTTGCAGTTGCATTTTTAAACCGGCCAGCTTTATAGCTCAATAAAAATTTTTCTGTGACGTTTTTAATGTCTTTTACTATTGAACACATTTCGCTGCATATTTCAATAGGTTTATTTTCTACTTCATCCTTTGGAACAGCGGCAGTAACACAAAATGGTTTAATTTTAGTTTGACCACAATTAAAGACTATTATATCTAGTGGATTTGTATAGGTCATATCAAGACCAGTTTCTAATCTTTCCTTGATATTTAATTGTGAAGAAATTTGAACTAGTGTCCATTCTAGAAACAGTTATTACTTAAGAACCAAATATACATATGTAAGATAAATAGATATATATAACTACTTACCACTTGGAAGATTTTCTATTCTTTTTAAGAGATTTTGAACATTATCCATTACATTTGTTGTATTACATTTAAAATTAATATTGGCTTTATTCAATGGCAATGAACTTATTTCATAATTTTCATTCTCTGTTACTCTTTCATATCGAAGTGCTGATTTTAACCTTAGGGCAGGTGTTAGCGATTCTACCAAATAGTATATTCGATCTAATTCATTATTTTCGGCACAAAGCAACGCTTTTAATTTATTGAAATCTGTCAAAGAAAATAGTAATAGAAACTAGTTCTATATTTTTAATTACAACAAAAATTGACCACTTACTCTTGTATAGAAGTCTTTATGGTAAGTATGTTTATTTATAAAAGAAATTGACCACTTACTCTTATACACAAGTCCACAAGGAAAATGAATGTTTTGCATGCAGTTTAATATTTCTTGAATAGTTTTATTTTCTTCCATATTTCTACTTCATCAGCTGACCTTCTGTTCTTTAATAATTAACTGGAATTAACCTATTCAATAACAGACAGTTGTTGAAAATTCAAATTCAAAAGTTTCACCAGTTCAAAAGTAAAAATAAAGAAAATCCCTAATGAAGGATTACATTTCTGAAGCATATACTATCGAAGGAAATTTGCTATGTACTCGAAGTGATTGTAAAAGAAAGAAAACAATTAACAATATTTTATACTCATTAGCATAAATAAAAACAGTAATCATATGCCCTAGTTAAAATTGATTAAAACAAAAATTTATAATCAAGCCAACTATATAAACGTTTTTCTTAGTTAGAGCAATAGAGTATGTGACCATAACAGCACTCATTAAAAAGGGTTGCATATACAAACGACATACAAAGAGTGTAATTTCAGGACCTCATCAATTTTAATTTTAAAATTAACTGATTAATAAAATAAGAAGTTTTATACATACTGATCTAATCTGATTATGCTACTATATTTTATTTTTGTGCTATTGACGTAGCCGTATCTAAAATCCATTAAATATAAAAATGTATTCATAAATAGAAGTTTAAGTTTACATTTTATATATTTTTAAAGACTAAAGACACTTTGTTAACTTAAGCGCACACAATGAGAAACTTGTTTCCATTAATTTTAAACAAGGTAGATATTAATAAATAGTAACTGAAATATATACTGCTCAGACGAAAAAATTAAACAGACACTAGTAGATAAAAAACACATATAAATTATATGAAGAAGTTACTGCGTATTTTTATAAAAGAAAACTGAACCAATGTACACAATCTTTATTTGGTAAAGATAACAACTTGTTGGATTTACCGAAAGTTGTTAGAAGCGTTGTTTGTGCGGTTTTTGTTAATTGCTTATCAGTTTCAATTACCTTGCTGATAGAACACTATAAAAACAATGTACAACAATAATTACCATTAATCCATTAAATATTCAAAGTGGACTACAATTATATTATTTCGTTTTAAAGATTGTCTAGTAAAATGTCAACACCGTTAAAAAATATTGCAGTGGCAAGTTAACAAATAATTGTTCGCTATTCATACCTACCATATAAGTAAAAAAATCAATAATTTTAGGTAACAGGTAGTAATAAAGGTATAGGTTACGCCATTGTAAAAGGTTTATGTGAGAAATATGATGGTTTGGTGTATTTAACAGCTAGAAATGTTGGTAGAGGCGAGGCTGCAGTTAAAAAATTGAATGAACTCGGTTTTAAACCGTTGTTTCACCAGTTGGATATTACAAGTAAAGAAAGCATAAATAAATTAAGGGATGACATTGTTCGAGAACATGGTGGTATTGACTTATTGATCAATAATGCTGCAATTTCTTATAGTGTAGGATACAAAACAGTTTAAACTGCAAACAGTTCGATAAACATTTGTAACTGATTGTAGAAAAATGGTACAGAATCATTTGGAGAAAAAGCCGAAAATACTGTTAAAGTAAATTACTTTGCTACATTAGAGGTATGCAATGTTTTATTCCCTATCTTACGACAAAATGCCAGATTTATTAACTTATCAAGCTCTACTGCACGACTTTCACGACTACCATCTCCTATCCTTCGAGACAAATTCAAAGATCCGAAATTAACAGTACCTAAACTTAATGAGTTAATACAGGAATTTGTTAGGCGAGTATAATTACTTCTCAAAAGTACCTTTTAATTTAATACAGTATCATTAGAGTGGCTAAGGAAGGGGTCGATACTTCTAACACATGGGGCAGTTCTACTTATGCAGTCTCTAAAGTGGGTGTTTCTGCTTTGACATTTATACAACAGCGAGAGTTTGATGCAGAAACACCTTCAAGAAATATTTTTGTTAATTGCTGCCACCCTGGGCGTGTTAATACAGACCTGACGAGACATGATGGTCCTCTGACTATTGAGGAAGGGGCCCGGTCATCATTATACCTCGCTCTTGAAAATCACGGCCTCAAGGGAAAATTTGTTTGGGAAGATTGTAGCGTCATTGAATGGACAACAGCCTAAATTACTAAACTATTAAACTACACATTAAATTGTATTTTGCATTTCTGTAATGTTAAATAAATGAATATATGAAAAAAGTCGAATTGCTTAATTCAATTTTCAAAAAGTTGTTGAAATTTCAAATTCAAAACTTCTACCAATTATGATAAAAAAGATCCCTAAATGATACAGTCTTAAAGCATATACTACTGGAGCAAGTTTGATTTGTAATGAAAGTATAAAACACTTNGGTCAAAAAGTTATGGAACAACCAAATTTCAAAAAACCATTGATACTTTGAAAAAGATCTTTTGCGACTTATGCTCTCCTAATACAAATTTTCAGATTTAACAAAATTTTCAGTTTTGCGTCATATACGAGGGCTGGTCAAAAAGTTATGGAGAAACCAAATTTCAAACAATTTTTCGATTACTTTTAGACTAACCCTCGTATTTGGCTCAAAACCGAAATTTTTCATAAATTTCAACATTTGTATTAGGAGAGCATAAGTTGCATCGGGTCTTTTTCGAAGTTCAGAATTAAAGCGCGGGATTACTTCAGCTCTTTTTATAGTATTTATGCTATTTTATTCTTTACTGTTGTTCAAGAAAACTAAGGACAAAATTAAAAACACATTATTTATTTATTTATTTATTTAAATACTAAAGAATGATAATACAAAGAAAATACATTTATTACTTAACAATATAATTACATTTATTATAAAGTACAAATTTATTTCAAATAACAACAATACATCAATATAAACAAATTAT